CCTGCTGCTGTCAATGGGCCAGCACCTGACATGGCAAAATACTTGCACAAAATACTTGCACATCCCACTGGACCTCACATGCATGTTGAATTTCAAGACTCAGGCATTTGTAAAGAGGTCATTTAAAGGCTGTCAGCCCCAAACTAAGCATTTCCCATCAATCTGGCCTTGGCTACTGATGTCTAGAATGGTAAATATTTTACTAGGCTTATTTATTCTCCTTCCTTTTTGCAATCTTTCATGTATTCATAGCATAGTTATAAAGGCCATTTTCAGTGACATTGTATTTCACTGGCAGAAAGCAAGGAAGAAAAAAAATCTTTTTTCTGTTTGGATTTATGTCCTAGCTTTACAGTTGGTGAAGCAAAGTGTAGCCCAGGGAGTTCTGTAATTTATCAAAAAAATGCACTATATGGCCGAATTATCTCTGCAAAGCAACCAATTATTTCAAAAGTAGACTTTTCCCTCCATAAGAAGAAGCTCAGCAGCCAAATGACTCAAAGACATTCCAGACAAAATGACTGATAACCACCCACTCCCTGCTCCCATTTACTGGAACGCCGACTGCCTCACGCTCCCTCTTGTTTACCAAAAAAAGCCACACCAGTCTTTCTCCATCCAAAATTGCTCTTCCCTAAACTGTTGCTTTTTTATTCTTGCTGCTCTCCTAACATACTTAGACTCAGAGCTCAGGTGTCCGAAACAGGGCCTCCAAAGGGATCTGTTCTGGGGGGCTTTTTGGGCCCTCCCCCCCATTTTGAGGTATTTTCCTTTCCTGGTTGAGGCTGTAATTAGTTACAGCATTGATTCTTGCTTTTATTCAGCACAAAAAAACCTTACTAAAAACACAGTGCAAGTGAAGTTCATTCTAATCTGGCCATAAAATTTTACGAGGCATGTAAATCAAAGGGAGGAGTGGCAGCTAATGCTCTGGAACAGTTGAGCCCTGTTCGAGCTTTCTCAATAGAGCTAAATCCCTCCAGGAGCAATTAGCCTAACAAGCTGTTTGGTCCACTTATAAATAACGTCACCGATGGAGACGTCTGGAGGTGTCTGCTCTGTGCACAAGAGACTTTCCAAATATGCTGAGTGGTGAATGACTTTTTTTCTTAATCCACAGCAGGGGGGTGGAGATGTATATCTGACATGTCCCAACAGCTTTGCTCACGTATTTATCATGTTTTCCAGGAAAGATATAGAGGGGAAAGTAGGAGTGCCATGCTCTTCTGGTGTGTCCTCCTACACTGCTTGGTAGGTGTGCATGGGGCAGCATGTCTTAAGTGCTGACCCCAAATGCTTTGGTCAAAGTAACTTAGAAATGGCCCTGTGCACAATAAAGCTGGGAATTGTTCATGGCTGAAGTCCTTGCCACATCCCCTGCGACATCTGAGACTGGTGAGGGACTTCTGTTTGCTATAGGTGTTAGAAATGTGATTTGCAGAAGGAGGTCCATCAGATGCCACTTGAGCAAGAAGACGTTGACAGGACTGAGGGTCTGGGTGCAGCCCATGGCTGTGCCAGCCCTGGAGGTCTCGGGCATGGTGGAGAGAAGTTTTACCTCTACGGAATGTCTTTTCTCCTATTATTTGTCTGGAGGGACACAACAAGGTGGAGATTTCTTTTGCATGTGACCAAGTGACTTTGGTTTCTGCATTCAGGGGCATCTCTGGCACATCTGGGCCCCGTCACCTCAGCTAACTCTATGGCCTCATTTTTCGCTTCTGCTTGAGAGCTGACCTGAGTTTTCCGACCCGTACCATTGGCTTGAAGCATCTTCTTGGGTTTGGGTTTTTTTTTAATTGTCATCTGTTTGTCTTTTCTTTTTCTAAAATATATTGTAAATTTCTAGCCTTTGTGGTCTTATGATTATGGAGGAACCTTCTGCAGCACGTAGAGAGCTCACCCCATAAAACTGGCTTTATAAAATGTGAATTAGATGTTTCCAATTGCAAGGATGAATAACTGCCCATATCCCTTTAAAGTCTGACTTTTCAAAATAAGGCTGAAAGAAGCCCTTAGCCAATCTCTGCCAAAGCATGAACTCCAACATTGGTGAAAAAACACCCACACAAGGAGAAAACAGCACTGAACAATTACAGTAGCCTTAAGGTGGTGCCTTTAACCATCAAAAATGGAGACTTTCATAAGCAAATAAACCTCAACACAGATCCTGCCTTGATTTCAACCCTCATATGACTCTCGTTTGAGTTTGTTCACCAAACCCAGTGAATTTCCATGTGTCAGAAGGCATGAATGCTTTTGGATGACAGGATGAAAAAGACGGGGAAAGGATGAAAGGTCTTTGGCCTCATTATGTTTTCACCTTCAAGGAACGGACCTGCATTCTGCATATTGCATCCAGTGCAGAAAAAGTGCTGTTGTGGGCAACTAAATATGCTGATAGCTGGATGCGAGTGAAAATGATGATTATCTCTTTCAGAAGGAGTTCCACCATAAAATCTGAGTTGATTGAGGCCAGGTTTGGTCAGGTCCCATGGCTAGGGGGATAGGATATGACACATCCAGACAGGACAATGCAGCTCAACATCAGCCAGATAAAAATTGGCCTACCCAGAAAGCCCAGTGAGCCGAGGTGCCCAGGCAGGGCCAAGAGCAATGTTATGGTTGAAGGCATGGTGCCAAGTACACATCTATGGTGACACCAGCCAATATTGTGTATGTGTCTATAAACAGACAAAAAAGTGACCATAGGGACATCTGGGAGCTGACTTACCCCTTTGTGCAGGTCAAAATTCATGTTTTTTCCCTACTCTTAAGGCCAGGAAAGTAGTAACTATTCAGGCAAGGAGACAATGATGGTTTTTACTCCCATCACCCCTTTTCCTTGGAAATTGCAATTTTTTCCTTCTGCAAAATGACCCAAATTATGCACACTTGATACATTTTGATTAACTTTTTAAACCTTCCTTTTGGATGAAGCATGGGAAATTCCACTGTTTGTTGCTTTTGTTGTCAATCTGAAATGTCCTTTGAGTAAGGGCTGGCTAATCAGTTGATAAGAGATTAAAAAAATTCATTACAGGCCCCCAAAGTTTAAGAATATTTAATAGCCTTTTGCAGAGATGAGGAGTGGGAAAAGCTCCGAGATTACACAATGTGCTGTGCGGCTGGTTGTCTTTACTAAAGCATCCAGAACTCAATGTTTCCTTTCCCAGTCTTGTTTCTGCTGTTATTCTAAGGCATGTAGGCTTGTACCACATGTTTATAAGCTGATAAAACCATAATGCCAGGAATGTTTTCCTTCCTCTATTAGATTAACAAAATAAGTGACTTTTCAGATACAGCCCTGTTTACCATACTCTCCACACCAAAACAATAGTTGTGAATAAATGTCGTAACTCACAGAGAGGTGAGAAAATCAGAGTCGCTCAGCGTAAATGCCAATGCAAGATGTAGCTGTGCATCTCAGTGCTGATGAGAAATGTTCTGCTCTCCTGACGTGCTCTCCTCGCGGGAGCCGTGGTGTCGCACCACTGCTTTGCTGGGCTGGCAACCCTCAGCTGTGACAGGAGGGGTGACATCATGTTTAGTACACATATCTAAGAATAAGTCCCATCAGACATGACTGAGTTCTTCTGCAGCCGCTGTTGAGCAATTCGTAACTGTACATGTCAGGCAGCTTTCTGACAACATGGGGTTTGATTCCCATTAAGGCAAAACAGCCATACAAAACACTTTTCATAATGAAGAAGGAGTATTTTAAATTATCTGTAATAACCTTTTCCCAAAGCCATAAATATGCTCCTCTTGATCTGTTGTGTACTTAGTACAGCTGTGTGCTGTGTGAGGCTTTCAGAACAAACACCGACATAGAGAAGTTTTGGGGATAGGGAAGAGCCTTGAGCCATCAGAGCCAATTACGCTAAACTCCCAAAACACATAAAGCATTTCATCAAGGGAGATCAAAGTGCCTTTCATGGGAAGGAAGAGCTATGGTCTGTCTTTTACTCATGGGAAAACTCTGGGGAAGAAATTGTCTGGCCAATTCTATAGAAGCATTCCTTAAATGTTAACCCAAGAGTTTACTTTACATTCATTGCATCTTCCCATACGCCCTCGCAGCCTCTTGTGAGCTCTGCCCAGACCTACAGCAGCCTTTACACATTTTGGGGTGGGACATGGAGCAGGCAGGATGAAGAAGGGGGTAAAGCTTGCAAAAGAAACAAAATGCAGTCAAACCCATGAACAAAACAAGGTAGCACCCGCTGTAGATACCTCATACGTGTTGCATCATGTAAATGCTGTGCAATCACCCCCAGTAAAATAGTTAAAACTGTGACTGCAAAGAATGATGAAATATTTTTGCACAAGTTGTGTTGCATGTTATTGGTTGGAAATTGTTGCTTTGGACTGTGAAGAGCCCAATGGCTTTGAAGAATCCTCAGTTTAAATATACATTATGAATATACCATGATGATAATACCAAGGTTTTTCCTTCAAATCACTGCTAGACTTTGAGTTTCGTAGTGATGACTGGATCAGCTCAAGCAGCACAGTTAGCATTATCTGGATATTTAGTGGAGCACCTTGTTCCTGGATAATTTGGTATTCTGGAAATGATGGAAAAGCACAGAAATGAGTGATGATTAGCTCAGTTATCCCTCACCTTAATGAACTGTGGATAAAATGTTCCTTAAACATTATTTCCATGTTTTTACATTTGTCTCAGAGAGAAAAGGACACAGTGGCAAAGCACGCAAAAGAAGTCCAGCCCTACACACAAACAAGCAGACACGGAGTGATGCTCACAAGAAGACTCAGGATCTGCATTCACACTTATGATCTCCCAAATATGGTCGTTTCCCATGGACAAGCCAGTCCTGATATAACCAGAATACTAAATGGTTCTGCTGTGGGAAGTGGTTATGGAGTTTGGTTTCAGCTCTTGGATCCTGACTTTGGCCAACGCTAAGCCCTTCAAAGGCTCATGTAACATTTAGGAAGTGCTGGAGCACAGAGAAGCTCTGCTGATGTTTGAGGCTCTTCTGTAACTGGTATAATCTGGACGATGAAGACCCATTTCTAACCATCTCTTTCC